TCAATTCCTTAATATTAATTCAGAAGGGGAGGGGTTTAAAACATGAACATCAGAGGGTATTAAAATTATTTTTCTCAGGAATACACAGAGCACTTCATTCTACATGAACACATAAGCGGGGTGGGGGAGGGAATATTACAAGCATTATCCTTTTCTTCAATTTTAGATTAAAGCAGGATGAACTGGGAAATTTTCAGGAGTAGTTCATTCATTAACAAAGGACGACCCACTGTACCCAAACCCCAGGTTATATTAAGAGAGGGTCAATGCATTCTTTCTGAGGCTTTTGAAGTTCATAATTCATTAAGCTGCATGACATTTTGCCTTGGGAGTGGGAGCTCTCATCTCTATCAAAAAGTCTCCTTGAGAAACTCTGCAGGTTACACAGCTCCTAAGTGGCAGTTTAGACAAGAGACTCCATCCACAGACCTGATTAAAGACCAAAGTCAATGGCAGCATTTTTATCAATTAAGTGTTTGCCCTCTCATGCAATCACCAGTTATGACACATTTGGGTTTGTCACTCCAAATAACGTGGGCACACCTTAGACAAACCATGCAGAGGAGGAGTGCTGTGATTTAAAACAAGTTTGTTCCTTTTAATCTAAAAAGAAAAAGGAAAAAAAAAAGTTTGCAGCAATACATCATGCTTCTCCAGCTGCTAATCTTTTCCATTTCACACCCACTGATCATTATCACCATGAAAAAACATTCCCGTCTTAAAGGCAGATCTAAGGTTGTAACCTTGGCTGCAATCAAGAGTAGATGAGCTTAATGTTTCCCAATGCATTCCCTGCATGTCACCCCAGTGCTTTTCCAAAACATCCATACCCAAACACTGCTCTCAGGTCACTTTTCTAAAATCAAAGCCCCAAACCAACATTGATTTCAGAGATGTAGGAGATACGACTGAGTTATAGAAATGATCAATAATTCTATAGAGACCCCACAGCCAGCAGAGGCTGAAATCAGAAGCCACACACATCACTTCAAGGGAGATTTTCAGGACATCATGCAGCTGAAGACACGACCTTGATTATTCCTTCGTGTGTACTCCATATTTATTATAGTTTGGGTAGAAATAAGGACATGGCTTGTGAGCCTTGATCTTTTTGTAATTAAATCTCCTGCTGAATAATCTGCTGGACTCCCAGTCAAAGACAGTGTTTCCTAAAAGATCAACGCTTCACATTTGCAAAGCACTCTGCCATGGATGCTAGCAACAATGGAGTTTAAGTGACTAATGCAAACAATTTAATCTATAAGCAGAATTAATGAATCACAACAATAAAAAGGTCACCTAATAATAAACTTCCATTGTTTAGAGCATTGTTAATTTCTTTTTTTCATGCTCCTAGATGATCTGGATATTCCAGTACAACAGTGACAAGAGCCAGGAAGTACCTTACAATGCTGAAGCTGAAATTTTGCCTTTTGGTGGTACAGAGATACAACTTTTATAAAAAGATGACAATCACTGAGGTCACTGCAAGCACATAAAAAAAAACAAATAAAACTGAAGTTCATGACTTCTCACCTCCCATCCTCCTGTTCCACCCCAGCCCTGCCAGCAAACAGAACAGCTTGGTCCTTCAGCTTTGAGAGCCTTGGCTCCCTAAGCACAACTCCCAGGCAGACCACAAATAAGGTCTGAAACCTTCATCCACTACACTGTGCCCGATAAGAATTCCCATATCAACAGGATGGCACCGAAATACAAGAGGGATGTGAGTAAAGTCAGTTTTGGATTTAATCCAGTGTCTGTGCATCAATAAAGATGTTCCCAACTGCAGTCTAAGGCAGATAACCAAAGGACTGCCTGGCCACGTGCACTTTTTTTTGCAGCTGAAGAAACCAATGCATCTTAAAGAAGAGGGTTTGAACATTTTTATTTCAAATTCACCCCACAATATTCAGCCAGAGGCTCTTCTAAATCCCACTGCCCTTTCTAAACAGGATTCCGTGCTGGCAGTGGTAGGGCTGGGGGATCTGCCTGCCCTGCAGCCCACGTGAGCACGGGCACGGCGCTATCGCACCCGAGCTAAACTGGGGAACACTTCCCTGCCCTATCTCTCCTGGCACCCGCTCCTCAGCCCCATGACTGTGCTGCTGGGAGCAGCTCCCAGCTGCAGGGCCAGGGAGCTCCTTACACAGCTCGTTAGAGGAGGTACCAGCAGCTCTGGGTGACACATCCAATGCTCCTGGGGGACAGGAGCCAGCTGTTTGCAGAGCATAGGCTGAGCAGCTGTCCCAGTCCAAACCTGCAGCAAGGCTCAGCTCCAGTGCCTGGCAACCTCATCAACAAGGAAACAATCAGGCAAGGCTTAAATGAGACACTGAATCACAAAACCACGACACTCATTATTACAGGATGTGTTTTCCACCTTATTTCTTAATCTTCACACTTACAGGGACCAGTAATCTCATTACAGGCCGTGACCTCTCAGTGGTCCCAAGCTCTTCAGAGGCAGGACAGATGATTTTTACAGAAGAGGTAAATAGAAGTTCAAGCAGCCAAAAGAAAGTAGCAAGAAGGATACAACAGGTGGTCTTCCTTCCTTTTATGCACACTGATTTGAGTAATACAAGAATCTCTGTCCCTCTATTGCTGTGAATGTGGAAATACCATTTTTTCCATCACCCAGAAAACTTTGGCCCCAAGTACACTGGACATCTCAGCTTCTCAAACCCCTCTTTTTAATTATGAAGTATTAATCTGATAATTATCAGATAGGATAAAATAAGCTCTAGCTCTCTAACCAGCTTCCAGAAACTGGAGACATAATCTTTTACTTTCACCTCCTAAAAGGAGCTCAGTAATGCTGCTGATGAAAACGGCAGGATGATCTAATGCATCTTTCAGGATGAAATTCATGGCAGATTTAGTAAAATGATAAACAAAACTGCATAATCCTTAATCTAAGATATTAGCCTAAAAGAGAAAAGAATGTAAAATATGCAAAGGTGTCAAAAACAAAAGGGTCAAGTGTGGGAGAAGCATGTTCTCCTGAAAGCAGACAAAGATAGGGAAATCCTCTGACATGTCAGTATTACCTGTTATTTCCAGTCATTTACAGAGATTAAATTCCTTATGTAGGAATTAACAGGATACTGTTCTCAGTAATCTGAAAACAAGATCTAGGAGCCTATATGTGAAAAATGGAGTTGCCATCACTCTGAAGAGAGAATGTGGTGAGGTTTTTTATTCACCTCCCAGCAGCCAGGCCACAAGACTGCTATGTCTGTCTTTAGAAAAGCAGAAATACCAGGAAGATACCTTTTTTTTGTGTTCTGCTGGCACCTAACAACTCTCAGATAACTGTCAATTAGCAACACATGGAACACAAAACTGATCTTAAAATGTACAAAGCATTTATACTGAGAGCAAACAGAAAGACTAAATCTTGATCTTTCAAATTTCCTCAAGCTACCAACAAATTTGTTTGTTTTGAAAGGGAGCTGATTTGTGTATACACCTGGCCAGGGGAGGAGGAGAGAAAAGGAAGTCACTGATGTATTAATAATGTAATTTATTTGCTCTGCAAAGAAATGCTATACCAAGTGCCATATAATCATTATTTTACACCAGGCCACATTTGACCTCAGCCCAGTTCTCTATCACGTGGGGATGAGGACTTCTAAGTGTACCACTTCAGTATTACATATTCAATAAAACCCCATACAAAACAGTGGGAAAATAAACTAATTCAGTAGATAAGCCTGAGAAAACAAAGCCTCCAGATTAGAAAAGTCATACACTGTTCAAATGACATGAGAATAATTTTGTTCTGCAGTACAGCATTCATGTGGTTCTACTGCAGCAATTTCATCATATATTTGCACCTAAGTTCCATTCCCTCAATGTGCCCTAAGTTTAAATGAAGTTTCTTCAAAGTCAAGGTATATTCAGTAGACCTGAGATTTAACAAAATTCAGGCAACATTTAGTTTCAAAATTCAGGATATGGTGTACTCCTGGAAAGCCACTCTCACAAAATCAGGTCACACTATGTGGTATTTTAATCTTGCTTTCAAGCACAGACTTCGGACAGTGGGTAGAGAATAAATTCCAGTGAGAACTTCTAGCTGGTAATTAAAGGTAGGCAAAATTTAAAGCCTCCATGGCATTAATGGTCAATATGATCCATTATTCACAACATTCAACACCCTCCAAGATACAGGTCTATCACCAGTCCTGATTGTCTCTCCTTCCTTCCCCTAAAAAGCCGTATTTGCAAGCAATATTCCCTTCAAATTTTCCATCCTCCCATCCAGCTCTGCCCTGGCTGGTGAGGTCTGTGGGCAGGACCATGAGCTCCAGCAGCTCAGCCTGCTCCCAGCACAGCAGGGCAATGCAGAAAGCAAACAGTTACAGACCTGGCTGGCAGCTTTGGCACAGATTTACCACATGCTCACACACCCCCGCGCATCCAGGTCTAATTTGACAGTGCCCATGTTCTCCAACAAAGCTGCTATTCAAGAGCCAGGGGAAGCTTGTTCCTTATTAATGGAGCCATGGAGGTTACGAGCTCTGAGAGGCTGACGTAAGCCATACCCTGCTGCAGCCCAGCCCTTCGCTGCCTCCAGCTCCCTGCCACGTTTTAAACTCCAAACAGGAAAATATTATCACAGTGAGCAAGCCCTGCACACTTGGCATGCCCCATTTTCCACATAAGCAATTTCTTCTCAATTGGCTGTCACACAAGCACAGCCATGCACCCCAGCACACTTTGGGGAGGAAAAACAAAAGTGGGGGATACCTGCACAGAGACAGCATTATGTGCCTCAAAACCTACTTAAAAACCTACTTAAAACAGTGCTGGAAACCACAGGAGCTCTGTGACTTACCTGAGAGCGTTACCACTGAGCATTTGCAACTGAATTAATACAAATAAACTCCTTAGGGACCAAAGAGAAAAGAAGCAGCATCTCCAAAAAGCTGATGGGAAGTGTTTTTTGTGAATAGTAGGAGAGGAAAAGAAGCATTTTAATTGGTACTCACATACAATGGAGCTTGCTGTGGATTAAGTTTCATGACCTCAGAACACTGAAACAAAAAAGAAAAACCAAGTTTAAGCTACTTTTCATAAAATTGTAGGTACTTCTAAACCAGTTGCTTCAGCACTCACGCACTCCTTTTTCCAATGAGCACTTTTTCTCTTCCCCTTCATGTCCACCTCTGTTCATCTTTCCTCCTAGCAATCCTCTCTTCATATCTGCCTTTTATGACAATTATCATTCCTAAATTGAAATCCTTCCACCAAATCCCTCATTCCCCCATGAAAAATAATTTATAAGTATTTGTAGTTCTCTCTGCTGCTCAAGAAATCCAACTACTACCTTGTCCAAGGTAATCTGGTGTAATTTTTTATGCCTTTCATTGGATTATTTGTTAAAAAAACATTTCAAAACTACATAGAAAACAAACTATCAAAAATGCTATGAAGGAAAAACTTACAGAATATATGATGCTCATGGTTCTGCATTAGCATTTTTCATAATCAAAATCTACCATTACCCATTCTGCAAAAGCTATTTTAGTCAAGAATCTTTCCTCTTCCCAGTTTGTCCCTGGAATTTCTCTATAACCTGGTGAAAGTTTCTTATATTGAGCTTTGAATCAGCTGAACCAGAATTTCTCTTGCATTAGCTCCTCTCCAGCAGAAAATATTCACTCTAAACAAAAGCTCTAAGTTTTCATTTAATGTGTGTATTAAGAGATCCAGGATCCTAAGATGAAGGAATGCAAAACAATTAAAAATGGAATTTCTGCTGTTACTCATGTCTGCAGAACTGGTAATGCTCTGCAAATACTTCAAGCCCTTTTTAAAATAGATGAAATACCACTCTGCTTTTCACACAAAAAATGTGGGATCTTGTTCATACTTTGCTCCTTTCCAAATCCCACAGTTTGCCTTTAGTGAGACAGAAATTAAACCACAGCCTAAATTCTCTTAGCTGATTCCAGCTAGCCTTGCTCCCTCACATGCTCTTTTTATTTTACATGTTTTTGTGCCAGTTGCTTTAAAATACCAGAGCAACCTGCCAAGCTTGTGCATCAAAACAGCCCCTCTGCAAAAGGTCCTCTGAGGCAGCCAGTGGATGGACAAGTACTCTGCAAAAGTTTTAAATCCAGTCCAATTCATACCTATTTTCAACCTTGAGATTCCCTTTCACACAGCAAGAACACCCCAAAATGTTTATGCCTGATAGTTTTCACTGTATTTTCAGCTCTTCCAAAAACTTACTGAGGAAAAGAAGGGATTAGTAGCACTAGCTGCCATTTGGGCAGGTGAGCTCCAACAACAGCTCTGCAAACAATATTCAGTTGTGCCCTACACCATCTCCCTGGCAGTTCCAGTCCTTCTGAGGGCTCAAAATGAAAAAAAGACACAAAACCAAAAAATGCACAAACCCTGCTAATCCACCTCCATGACCTACCTGAGCCTCTCTCTCCTGTTCTGAACCTGGGTGTCCTAAACAGGAGCATAAAAACATGACCTAGGCAAGAGCACTTATTTTATCTTATAGAAATCAAACCATGCTCAGAAAAAAACCCAAGCTTTCAAGCTTACCTCACATATGGATTTTTGGAATTTCTCATTGCTACAGACTAATTCCTAGTGAATTCAAATTCATGACAGTTTTTGCTGGGTTCTTTTCTGGCAAGAGAAGTGCACAGTAGCAGCAGTGAAATAAGGTGACACTGCTGAACACTGGGTCTTGTCAAAAAATTGTGGGAATACTTCCTGCAGGAAAATTTTTCCCCCTGTTATCTTACTAGTTGGCCCTTACATCAGTCCCTTAAAGTGACTCCTTGGTTCATAATGCACATGTCATTCCAATTTTTCTAAGGATGCAAACTTAATTTGCAAGGAGCCAGGCAGGTTTGGAAGATATTTTATCTTGTTAGGAAGTTCTTTGGCAAAAACACAGGAGAAAAACTGAGTGACACATTAGCCTGAATGACTACTCTGCATCAACAAGGGACTAAATTTAGGTTTCTAGACAAGTGAATTTCTCCAACCAAAGGAAAGGCAGGGAGCAGCCTCTGAAAAACTTTAAAGACCTTTAATCCAGTAAGAGGAGAAAAAACAAAAGGCAGATCATACTGGTCATAACCAAGCCAAGATACATAGGGATCCTAATACAGTCAACAAGTTGGACTACTTTAAGCATAAAAATGAGGAGGGGGAAAAAAAAAACAACAAGAAGCTAAACTTTGTTTTCTCCTGTTATTTAGAGAAGCACATCCTTCAAGCCAATGCCTGCTACGAGCCCCCAGAAAGCCATTTCTATCTTTTTGGGCAGGAAGAACTTGCTGTACCAGATACAGAAGAATGCAGTGAGAATAACTGGCCCTACTGTGAGATCAGGATCTGGACTGCACAGGAACTGCCTTGGAAGCCAAACTAACAAGAAGAGGTAAATATAAATCCCACCTCCCTTGCCCAGCTCCCAACCCAGCACCCCCATGGCAGCCCACAGATTCTGTTCCAGTGGCAGCTGCCTGGACTTAAAACATTTATGGTATTTCTCACAAACATCTAAATCTTTTCAATTTCAGTGGCTGGGAGGTTTATCACAAGCTCCATATACATCCAGACAATTATATTGCAAGGTTTCTAGAATTATATTAGGTTTTGTACCTCAGGATAACACACTGAAATCCCTTGCATTTGCAAATTGGAAAGTAGGACATCAAATGAAAATCCAGGTTCAAGCTCTTCAAGACATTGTAGTAGTTTTAGACATTATAATGATCTGCAGATGCCAGTAAAATAAAAAGCTAATGGAGCCTCCTCAAAATGGGACAGATACCTTTCTGCTGTGTTAAGCAGTGAAGAATTAATACAGTAAGTTTTATAAATGTCTCTTCTAAAGAACTTCGGTGTTATTTCACACAAAATTTCATGGATAAGGATAAATAACTACTCTTCATTTCTCTGGCTATGGTAACATATGTCAGGGAAAGAAAAGAAGAACAATCATTTATTTGCTTTACTGTGGTTCCAAACCTCATCCAGAATTAGGGCCCCACTGGTTAGACGCTGTAAAAATGTCAGTGCAAAAGAAGTTTCTGCCCTGAAGAGTTTACAAATAAGCACAGGCAGCAGGAAGGGATACAAACCCCATGTGCCAAAGCAATAAAAACCCTCTTCATTCACCACTCCCAGCTACCTCTTAATTTGGCCACAATTAGGTGGTTTATTCTTCTAGGCATCATAGGCAAAGTGTGTATCGTGAGGACAAATCTGACAGGAAGGTCAACGTTCCTCCAGGCCAACCCATCCCACACACAATCTGTCAGGCTGAAGAACTTTGAATACCATGTAGACAGGAATGCCAAAGTGCCTTTTCCATTTTCCCATCATACCCCCTTTCAGGATTGCTCTTTTTGGCAATGGGCTTACATCAAATGCAGGTTTTACTGCCCAGCTTCTGTGAGCTCCCCAGCATCCACTCCTGGCTGCCTGGCTCCATATGAAGTGTATGTGAGAAAGAAAACACAGTGACACTCTCAAGAGATGTCCATTAATGAATTTATATTGATTTTTATTTTTTTTATCAGAAAGAAGATCTACAGAATGGGCAGAAACAAAAATGATCACTCTCGCCTCCAACAACTGAGCAGAACTGCAACAACCAGGAGGATGAGGGGTATTTAATCCATGTGGCACAGCTGGGAAGGCCTACCTACCCCTTTCCCTTTCCTTCATGCACTAAATAAATTTCAAGTGTCAATTCTTGAGTTTTTTCAAACTTTTCAAGTTCGGTTTTTAGGTATTTTAAGTAAACTTCAGTTAGGCATATACTTCAAGTTTAAGCTTTGCTGAAATTTATCTGAATCTCAGCACCTGACCTTTTCATTTATCATTTTAACATTTGATTTTTAGAAACATTGATCCTTATTTGCAAAGCTTTACCCATGCACTCTCAGCTCTACCAAAGAGAAAAAGCCAAACCCCAAATAAAACCTAACCCAATCTCAGCCATAAAGAGCTTGTGGTTGCAAGCAAGAAAGAACAGCCAAAAAACACATGAAGAATCTGATGGTTACAGATGGCATGGAAAGCATTCCAGTAGATAAACAGAAATGCAGAGAAAGCAGGATGGCTTTCCAGCTGTAAGTGTCACAGCATCACTGGGATCAAAGCCAAAGGAGGATTTACTTTTTTTTTTTTTAATGCAACAGAATTTACTTTTTACAGAACTGACATTCCATAACATTGGTTTGAAGAGACTAAACTTTGATTTCAAGGCTCTGGAGCAACACTTCACCAGGTAGCCAAACTACATATAGTCTATAGAATTTAGGAAAGCACTGTTGATGCTGGTTATCTCTAAGAGAGCAAGAGAAACAGAATTTCTTTTACATATTTATTTTAACAGGGGCACCAAAAACCCACACTGGGGCAACCTGCCTTATGGGCAACCCCAACCCTTTTGGCACATAGCCCAGAAGTTGTAAAAGAGTTTAAAGAAATCCCAGGATTTCCTGGGAGCACACATTCACCTCCCTTGCTGAGCTGCATCACTTCCTTCAATACAGCTACACTAAAAAAAATAAAACCAAGATTCCAAAACCACATCACTTCTCATTCAACAAAGTACAGTGTCCTCAAGGGCACTCCTCCACACTCTGGTTGTACAAAATGTTAATTTATGAAGTACTTGGAAATATCAAGAGGATTGGGTTTCAGGCCCTACAGAGCTGCTGCTCTAAACTACACAAGATAAATAAAGATGGGGAAGTGGTAAGGGGAGCAGAGAGGAGACCAACTGCCCATATACAGAGGAATTCCTGCTGGAGCCATGATTTCATGCAAGGAGAACTAAAATAGCAATGTCTTTCACAAGTTTATTGTTCTCCCCTAGTGTCAGGGGAATTGCTAAACTGGAATATTCCCCTTTTCTTCTGAGTGGTATATGACCTTTATTGTGTTGTATTACCCATCATCAGTCTCCTCATTTTTTTGTTATAACACAATTATTTGAAAAATGGCTCTTCTTGGTTTAGTTTTGGGGTTTTGGTTGTTTTTTTTT